CCATATAGCCCTTTGAAAGTCAACCGACAAGCAGAGCTCTGTCAGATTTGAGGTTTTCACGGTGGTGACTATGAAGAAAGCAGTCTTCTGGGATGTGGCACCGTGTAATGTGGTGTTAACCGACGTTTCGGACGAACGTATCGCCTCCATCTTCAGGGTAGAAGGAAAAATAAGAAAATCCGCAAGCGAAGAGACCGTTCTCATCGTGAGAACGGTCTCTTCGCTTGCGGATTTTCTAATTTTTCCTTCTACCCTTATCCTTATTTTCCACATCTACACGGTGCCACGTCCCAGAAGACTGTTTTCTTCAAGCAGAGCTCTGTTTGCCACCTGCTTTACTCTGGTTTCTTGCTTGGCTTATTATTCGACCCTGAAGATGGAGGCGATATGGTCCTCTGAAACGTCGGATGAACTTCAACGGACTGCACGGACTGTAATATTCGTTTCGTTTAAACACATTTTAATCAGCCTAACCTGTTTCATGGTACCCCAAACTCTGTCACTGTATTGTATCGTGGATGGGTAGTAAATGCAATACGGTATATCTAAAGGAGCCGCGATAGCTCAGTCGGTATAGCGACGGGCTGCGGGCTGGAGGACCACGTTCGATTCCTGGCAGGGTAATATGTTTTTCTTCTACATCGCGTCCAGACCGGATCTGGGGCTTACCCAGCCTCCTGTGCAAAGGGTATCTGGGGCGCTTTCCCCGGGAATAAAGCGGCCGGACGTGAAGCTGACCACTCGCCTCCCTCTAGGGCCAGGGGTCAAGAATGGTGGAAGTACATTTGTTACAGTACTGTGTTTGGCTCACTACGAACGAATGGGCTTTATTCAGAAGAGACTGAACTACCGTGACTCAGACAGATTATTGTGAGTGCTTGTCCGGCTCAACTAGTCAAGAAATTTCCTCCCCTTTTTCCTGAACCTGAAGATACAAAGTTCCAAAACTTAAAGCACTATCATTCGTAGATGAGTTGTAATATTTTCCTCTCTTATGGTCCTGTGTCTCCCAAATTTACACTTCCTTTCGGATTTATTGACAAAAATTTCGTATATATTTCTCATTTCCCATGTTTGCTATATGCCGTAGACAGCTCAGTACTGTGTAAGTAGGCTCTATACCGTGGCGAATATCTTAATTGCAGTCGTTTATTACTTTATACTCGTATTTATTGGATCCAGATACTGTCCTTCGATATTCGGAAGGAATTCCAGCAAACTATTACGGAAATTGCCGGTCACGATAGCCGAGCGATTTAGGGCACGCACTGTCTTCGCTCGCTGGGAAGCCGGGATCGTGGGTTAGAAGCCCACAAAAGGCATGGATGTTTGATGTGTGTTTGTGTTTTCCTGTGTTTAGGTAGAGGCCTTGTGACGGGCTGATCACCCGTCCAAGGAGTCCTACCGTCTGTAAAAAAACGACGAATAAAACTGAGGAGTGAGCCCAGCCCTTTGTTCCAAAGTGGGAGCGAAAAGGGAAGAAAAAATACGGAAATTACATCCTGGAACAAACAAATACAGCAGAACGTTTGTCATTACGGCATATCCTCGGGTCACGACCCGAACCGGGAACATATAGTTAGAAAGCAAAGAGAACTGTGCGTTGCCACTACGTAACTCTGGCCTAAGGAATACGGTAACGCCTCGCCCAGGGATAGCCAAACTTACTGAACATGGGTGCCACGTATTTTTCAGAAGTTCGAGAGCCGCACAAGCGTGGGTTTGGTAAGGCCAGTGTTCAGGTGTAGGCGTGCGTGGGTTCCCCGTTGTATTTAATCATAGAAATAGGGATTGACTGGTAATTTGTTTTGCGCAGTTCGAAAGGGCCTCATGCGGCTCGCGAGCCACAGTTTCACAGCGTATTGCCTGGCCTCTGACGACAAAAACTGCTCGCGATGCGAAGAACATTGTTTCGGCAGAGCGTACGCCCCTTCAACAAGCGACTGGAAATACCGGCCATTACAGCGACAGGAAATTAAAATCCGCTCTGGTGACAATTGCACGTAACAGAAAACAGAACTGCACACAACTTTTTAGTTCGTCAAGGATTCTATACAGCAGTGTAGATGAATGGGATTTCATTTTCTGTTTTAAGCTCCTCAGAATATCTGTCGATGTGTAGCTATTTCAGTTAACGAGTTTTCACAACTGAACTGAGAATTATGAACTGGAGGAGACTGGGCACGCCACTCACTCAGCTACTAACCTCCGGGTTTACATACTGAGGAGTGGAGGTATTGCTCCACCATTTTGACCTCGTCACTAGATGGAGGTCAGTGGTTAGCTTCAGACGCTCCAAAATCAGAGTTTCTGGTTCTCGAAGTTAGATGTTTTGCGAGGGGCTCGTGACTCCTGCTTATATCATTAGAAGATTACATAAATGGATCGCTTATTCTGGATAATGATTCAGAATTGATAAGGAATATTTATTTACTTATTTGATGTTTATTTAAAGGCGCTGTGAGCAGCTCAGTCTTTGAGAGTAGAATTATTCGACGCCAAAAATCAAGGCCAGTAATGTGTTCAAAATCCCAAATAACTCTCTTCACAACTGTATATGCCTCATGGCTATTCACACAAAGGATAACGCCTAAACATAATTATCCCATAACTACTAAGTCATTAGCATCGCCTAGTGCCAGTCACCAAAACCTCAATTCATAAAGCCGTGCGAGGAAGTGGGGTTGAATGTCCACACATTGTTAGCGCTGCATTCGCTACAGCGAAGTAGTAAGACTGACAATCCACCCTTGAAGAAAGTCTCCTTTTGGAACCCAGAACCGGTGAGTGTGGACGTAACAAGGAAGTGGAAACACCTCCCCTGCTGGGAATTGAATTCCAGTCATCTTACCAATGAGCAGTGACTGAATGACTGAGATAACCCGGTTCATAGTAGCACCGTAAGTGTTGACAGAAAGCTGCAAGACAGTATGTGTGTGTATTTATTCCACCCCCCAATAGCTTCTCATAATGAAAGATGCCCCTTATCCTTGAAACAAATACATGGCGATAACACGTTTGTGCTTGCGTACCTCGCAGGCCAGTTGTCGAAACTGATAAGCGTCAATCCAGAAGAAAAGTCTAATCCATTCTTCTGTGTTGCAGCTCTGCTTACGATTGTGGCTGCAAGTCTGTTCGCCCTTCAAACAGACGACAGAGAAAACAGCTTCCAGGTCAGTCGAGGAGAAGCGTTCTACATCCAGGTAAGCACCGATTTTTGACAGGGAACGGTCCTAGAAATCAGCAACTTTGAAGATCGGAAAATGGGACGTGATTACGAGAGGTGGATGGACTGGTTCGCGATCCTGCTCAGTGGTTAATTTAGATACTCTTATTAACAGCGTTGAAATTTTGGGATCCATGAAAGGAACGTCTGTATCCTGTAATCAGCCAAATAGCTACCCGGTCTGTAGCAATAGGAATCTTGCTGAATGCTATTAGACAGCAAAGCAGAGGGAATGTCCCTCCCGCAACGTATCGGTATATTATGCTGTCCATTTCATTCACCCGCAAACTGAGCACGAGGCATACTGATAATGATTTGAGCCCTTTTTCATGCGTATGGAATTTGGTCTGTCACTGTTACCTAGAGATAGACCATTATTTCTACCCCTGGGTCAGTGGGGTCATGTCGCATCGGCCGCTAATCGGAAGCCCCCGCTCGAAAATTTCTGAACATCAGAACTGTTAATTGGATAGCTGTCAGTTATTCGTGGCGATCGTCGCCATTTTATAAGTTTGTATATTCATTACGTAAAATAAGAGGGAAAATTCTACAGGGAATGGCTCTGCCCTTCACGCGCAGATTATGTGAGCAACTAATGAAACATAAGTTTCCTCAGCGTACGCCTACTAAGCTGGAAATCGGCGACATTTCTCGGAAATTGCTGTTGTCAGTTTCATTGGTGTGCACTCGCCCTAAGAGTCACTGAGTTACACAATCCAGATGTCACACATAAAATGTTCTCTTCACACCCGGACTTTCAGCTGAGCACTCTTGCAACTAACTCTCTTCTTCGCAGCCTCTCAACTGACAAGTAACTGGGTTACCCCAGTTGTCTTCAAGATATCCCCTCGGCATGGACCACATGGGAAATACAGCCCCTCGATTGTGGTAGAGGAGTTTTACCACGCTGTTGCATAACGTCACAACGCGGACCACATAGAAAACACGATTCTTCTATTGTTACATTTGTGTCTGTTGCAGATGTTACCAAGCGGCGGCCGCTGTTTACAGATCACTGCTTAGCAACAGGTCTATACATTACATTCTTTTTGTGAACACTGTTCATTTTGTGTATGTCTGTGTTAATGATAAGTGAGGAGTGAGGATATGAAGGTTGATCCAGTATTTCATTTCTGATTTACACCATGGTATGTTTTATGTGTATGTGTTTGCTGGCAGGTTGCATCCATTATCCTCAACTTTCTTCTCTTCATAATGGCCCTGTATGATGTCATCTTTTCACGGCGACATGGCGGAGATCCAACACTGCCACACGGTCGTGATCCAACAGGCGAGGATGCTACTACTTTCAACAATCCTGGCTTCCGAGACCGACGCATCAACAACAATTCTGGCGGGGTCTCCATGACAGATGCAAGTGGCAAACCATATGTGCACTCACCCAGCAGCAGTCAGCATCAGGCCGCAGCAAATGGCAGTATCGTCTCGATGACCACCACAACGTCTTCAAATGGTTCTACTGCTGGGTCCGTAACAAGGAGTCCACTAAGGTCCAGTCTCAAGAAACCAAGACCTAAACCAGATGGTATGGGTATCCAGAACCCAGGATTTAGTGGACATTCACCAACTCTTTCCAGAAACGGCAGCATGAAGAAAGTTCGCATTCAGACACACAGTACAGCTGTGTGAAATGACAGCAATAAATTATAAGACACACATAAGATAATGAACTTGTGTGCAAATATTTTTATGACAGGACAGTGTGCTACCGTGATCTGCTCCACCAATTTCTGCGGCTCCTGTAAAGGGATTCTACTGGGGTTGGTTGCTACATTTATCCCGACTTTTACCATGTATCTCACTGGGTATTATGGAAGAATATTGATTAGGAGAAGAGGATTACATATTTGAATATTGCTCTATTATCATTTGTAGGGCTCCAGACGTAAAGCTTAAATCTACTAGCTGCTTAATAAAATCTACTCACAGTATGCCCAATGCAAATATTTTATGGAACATAATTAAAAACTTACTACTTCCTGGGGGTAAAGGACAGCTGGCACATAAGGTTGCTAACCTTACCGCCATCTGTTAGCCGATTGTGTAGAAAATGTGTGAGCCTTGACGTCTCACATCCCTATGGGCCTCCACAGCCTGTTACAGGGGTAGCTTTATTTTGTTTTATTTTTTTACTGCTAAATGAAAAGGCTGATTATGTTAGTAGGACATTGTTTAATTTCCTCCTGCTTCTTACATATGAAAATGCTAAGAGTGGAGGACTGTGTTTCTGGAGCCCTGATCGTGTCTGTTGCTTTAATGCAGGATTGCTATAACTCACAGTTAAAGAGTAACAAATTTAATGATTGTTCGGTTGTATCATTTGGATACAGCACTGTTTGCAGGAATATAAATAATATTACAAATACTATCAGTATTTCAGACAAATCTGCATTTCCCCCCCCCCTTCCCCAACCAAAAATCAGCCCTGGACCATTACCACAAAACTATACTCCCAGAATGATGCTGATAACTGATCACCATGGAAACCTCAAGTGTCATATAATTGTTCTACTTTGTGGGTTCTTTAATTATGCTTTAATGGTTAGCATTTATACCAATTGAGTGACAGGGAAGGGAAAGGAGGCTGTAAAAACTCCATGCAACATGAGAGTGACCATATTCAAGAAATTAGGATATTGTCACGTGTCTTGGATGTATAATGCAACAAATAACTTCACGCCTTATTCGATATAGCGAATTTTATTTCACACTCGCTCATACGATCACACAGTTTACAATCTCACAGCTACTGCTATCTGCAGTATTACAATTAGTTGGTCTGCAAAGGCTTGACTACAACTGACTGATTGACTGACTCGCTGCTGGCTAACTCGTAACTAACTTGAATAGTCTTCACTGCTCCTTATTTAGCCCCGTTACGGACAACACAGAAAACAGTTACGTAATAGGCACCACTGTTGTCTGACGCTGTGTTTGCCGACAGCCTAGCAACGCTGTCGGGAGTTGTTTACTGCTGAGTAGTAACGGCGGCATTCCGTGTTACGTCACCACTGGGGAGGGAGGGGGTGTCCTCCATAGCGCAACATGTCACACTATTTTGAAAGTACAGATTTTTTTTTTTAATATCTTGGGGTAGGGTGAGACTGAGTCCACTTTGTATGTAGGCCGCTGTTTTGCCAGTTGTACCATTTTTGAATGATAGATGATGTTTATGGAGTAGCTGATGGAATGAGAATTGGCAGGGGAAAGAGAAGTACTTGGAGTAAACCTACCTCAGTGCCACTTCGTCCAGTACAGATCCAACATGACCTGACCTGGGATCGAACCGGGACTGCCATGGTGGCATGCCAGTGGCTAACCACCTGAGCTATGACACAGCCCTTAGGCATTGAATTGATATACTATATATTAGTATGAGAGCCATCTGTGGAGAAATCTCCAGTGACTGATGCAGTGATACTAGGTAAATAATTAAAGTCTTTTACTGTTCACCCACACTAACTTGATGCAACATATATACGAACCAATGCAACGGATCTGTGGCGGGAGAAAGAACACAAGAAATAGATAGCTCATTACTGTTCTTGAGAAGTACCGCCCATGCCTTCCTTGTGGCACTCCAGAACCTAGACAGTCTGTGAACCTGAGATGTTCGGCAAACCGAGTCAAAGAAGCAAATGAAAAATTCTGTTAAATTACACCATGAAGGTTTTCTGTGCTGGTTTTCGTTTAAGCACTAATGAGCCATATTTCTATAGTAATGACAGATGATATATGGCAGGATATATCCCTTTCGCTGGTCTTATAATGAACATCACACAAATAATGACCACACGGTGAATATTACCTCTGAATGAGGTACCATGGAAGGGGCTAATTATTGCAGTACAAATTCTTTCATTTTTGACAGGTTTTATTATGGCAAACATGTTCTGAAGGTAAGACATCACATTCCTTTTACAGATTTAAGGTTTATTCAAAATCCGGTTGTAAACATAGGTAATTCTTTGCAGATATTGAAACTTCCACTTATGCTTAGAGTCTGGGAGGCATTATGTTTGCTTTCTGTATTAAGCTGTAGGTACCTTACTGTTCGTCCTCTCACTGAACATGTCAGAATGTACCTGATCAGGTGGACAGAGGAACACAAGAATAATACACTCAATGCAAAACATCTCTGAACCTGAACTATGTCACAGAAAAAGGGGAAGGGAAGATAAAGAACGGGAACGGCAGGAGGGGAGTACAAGGGTGAACTGTGTTCTTTCCATAATGGTTAAAATTAGGAGTCTTTTTTTTTTCTTTCAGTCATTCATGATGAAATATTGAGTAACTTAAAGCCCTTAATAATTACATGGCATTTCTGAATTACTCTCCTGGCCCATGCTGAGTTGTATTTGTTCTGAGATTGTTTAAATATGGTAGGAGGAATACTGAATTTGAATACAGAAAATAGTGCTTGTATTTTTCCGACATTCTTAAAACGTTGTTACATAGGGAGAGATTTAATTCTTATAGGATGCTTAAATTCCACTTTGTACTTATGTAAGTAAGGCTTTTATTGTGAAATAATTTGGAGTGACATGTAGTCCTGCATTATAAGTATGGAGGCATGTGCCTTTTGCAACAAAACAGACTAACAAGTTTAAAGTTTATATCATTCCCCTGTTCCCATTTCACAGGAGTTTAATTTAGTGAAGTTGTGAATAGCTTCATAGAAGTGATAACATGCAGAATACTACACTGACTACAAACAAGTTTCCTTGAGAAGATACATGTTTGTATATTTTCTACATATGCATTCCATTGTTATGTTTGTGTCGATTCGTTATAGTAGTGGTAGCCCATGGAATAAGGTTAAAGCTTATGGAAGATATAAGCAGAAACATGAAGGCATAGGCTTATCAGAAATTAAATCATCATTAGTGAGCAAATACTCGTAAGTTTGCACAAATTAGGGTGTCACAAGTATATACAGTGAAAGTTCAAGAAGAAAAAAAGATTATATCCTTGAAGTGACCAATTGCAAACTTTACAATTATGTAAACTTTTTTAATTTGTTATTAGAAAGCAACAAATATCTTCTTTTATGTACATATTTGTGTAGTAACTTGCAGAGCAAAAGGTCATAATTGTTGAGATTCCTGAAGCTCACAGCCTGACTTCCTTTTACTGGCAGTATTAAACATGAAACATTCAGAAGAAAAAGAAAGTATTTCTGACCATTTCACTTTTGCAAGTGTTGGTTGCATATAAGACTAAACCTATGTGAAAAGGGTGAAAATATGGGAATCTTACAGTAGCTGCTTGGCCTTTCTCCTGCTTGGTATTGTACAGGAGTATGAAGTATGCTGGTGGTAGTGTCGCAGTTAAAATGAATGTCTCCTCTTACATTAGAGTAATGTGAATAGTTTTCAGTTTACTGCATTTGACGGTGACCGTTGCTGTGAGACACCAGCTACATAGAAGTCTAATGCCATTTCATATATTGCATCTGAGACCTGTATACACATCTTACAGTGAAAGCATGTAAGATTTTAAAGTCAGTGATGGAAATGGTATAGAAATGTCAGATTAGAAAAATTTCCACAGATGATATAGGCCTATAAAGATAAGGGTCATAATAAGGGCCCCTCTATATTGAATTTAAGATAACGTTCAGTTTTAAAATCTTTGTTTGATCCCTTTGTGTACACTATTACTTTTATATTTCATACTTAGGTACACATTTTTTTTTTTTAGTTTTCTTTCTTTTCTTGATCACTACTTTCTAAATAGAACTTTCCCCAGTACTCCCTTCTACCCATGGAAATATCACAAATTATTTTAAAGCGCTGTTTGTGTACATATAAAGAGTAAGGTGGGCAATGATCTGAACTTGGATGAAACATGCAAATGTGTGAGCACAGTCCTTATGACTTACTTACCTACTTTGTCCATGATTCTACAGTTGTCAAAGAGCCTTAACCTCTTTTATGACGTGTCCATTCTTTAATATTTACCTTTGGCCTATATAGCTTCACTTTAAGTTGTCATAAATCATTCTCTGTATCTTACATTTGAGTTGGCTTAATGTTCCTGCCCTGAATAAGCTACACACATTCCAAGCAGCAAGATATTATAATCTTTCCTTAGTTTCTTCTTTAAATTATGTATTCACAATCCATCATTAGTATTCTTAGCACTTTTTGTTTTTTTGAACTGAATTTGTTAGCCTCAGCCCCAGCCCTCAAACTTTAGGACTAGGGGTTAATTTTTATCTGGCTCTTACTGTTTGACATGTCAAGCTTGAATGACACTACCAGGAGTTTACCCCTGTGCTGGAATAGCTGTTGAGATGACAGGGCTCACAGAACTTCCAACTATGTTAGGGTAGTAAATTAGGAGGAGAATTATTGTTAATTTAAGCATCACATGTATTAAGCTATGTGAGAAAACTCATGAATGAACTGCTGACTAGAGAATGTGTATCAGTCAAAATTCATGTCAGAAATGGCCAATCATAAATTGTTGCATGGTAAACTTGCTCTTGAAGTATTCTCTTCCATTTCCATCACTGATAATACTCATGTGCTCAGTTTGTAACACTTGTGCGGAGGATTATAAATTGTTGATGCGTGTTGGAGTGGCGTGGACTCCAAGAAAGTTGCTCACAGGCTTGCTCAAACATTATATCCCTCTATGCTGAATCAGCACACATTGACCATCACAATATGTAAAGGACTTTTAACTGGCATTTGCTTTTATTTTTAAGTGAACACACTGCATTAGAAGTTCCAAAATGGGGTTATTTTTCTGTACTGAAATCTTAATAGCACAAAAGTGGATGCTAAAATCTGAGTTAACATTTTCATCTTAATTTTGTTACTATGTTTCCAGAATATAAGTGTTGTCTGTATTATCTGAAAATCTCATGTTGTATAATATTATTACTTACTGCTCTTTGATTTGTTTAATTGAACATTGAAGGTGAAGCAGATGTATGTAATGTTGGCAGTTAACAAGTTTATTAGAAACACAAATTTAAGCTAGTTAATGACTGTTAATACCTT